AAATTAAGATTTGGTGTTAATAAAAATGATAAATTACAATTGTTTTATACTCAAAAAATAACCGTCAGGTATTGATAGTATTACATATGAACTTCGAATGATTTTAAATGTTTAGTTTATTTGTAGTTTAATACATTTAAAAAACACTAGCTAAATATGATCAAAATTAAATAAGCGAATCTACCATTATGATCACATCCCAAAGGTCTATAAAAATGTATTCGTTTTACCTGCTTATGCTTCATGAAATTTTATGTGATCAATAAACTGTAAACAAGAACTAAAAGTACATAAAACTTGATGTTTTATTATTTATTTTTCAAAAACTGAAAATACGCTGATAAAGATAGAATAAACTTATTTGTAACTCGTTTGTAAAAAAGCGCGTATATATTTTTTCTTTATGCGTAAATTAACTTATTAAACAAAAAAGTTGAATTGGAAAATTAATAATATTTATTTTTAATTAAAATAATTAAGTTTCACATTTTGCTGAATAATATTTTTATATGAGTTCCAATTTCTGATTGACTTTTAAACGCAATGAAATATAAAATATTTTGCGTCAAATAAACAAAATGTTGTCATGTGTTAGATATTTTTTTACCTTCAACAAATATCTTTAATTGTTTTAGCGATTAAAAATAAAAAAAAATCTACGCTTCAGTAAAGCATTGTTACCTATAACCACCAAACTTTTCGGTATTTGCCTACAGGGTTTTTAGACAGTTTTGAGTATACGTAATAACCTTTAGAAACAAACGGTATTATTATTATTATTATTTTCAAGTATAAAACAATAATAATCACCTGCATTGTGTTGGTAATAGCCGTGGAACAATAAACCCAGTAAATGGCCCAAGTTCAATACGCTACATAATAACCCAAAACCTCAAAGTTTGCCAGTGTCCCGACGAACGAGACGAGACGGTAGTTCTTTTCGATATTGGGATAAGTTAAAATCCCAGACCTGTTTTTGTCAACATGGTAATAAATCCCTGTCTCTGCTCAGAACTTTGCGATTATCGTACTAGCACAAATCACAAAAGTATATTTATGTGCTTGGACCTTTCTTTTTGAGGAGAGCAGGTTTGGTTCCGAGTTAAAAGAAAGATAAACATGTAGTTTAAAATAAAATTCAATTTGTGTTTACTTGAATTTTCTTTCTTATGGTACAATACCAAATTGAGTAAAAAGTTCATTCGCCAGTATTACATTATACTCTTGTTTTTACGTAAAATGTTTATCTTGAAAATTTATAAATATTTTCATCTTTGAAATTTTCTATATACGAATAAACAACGTTCGAATGTCAAAAAATTGATTTTGTCCACCGACATAATTAAACTTAAAAGATTTTAAATTCGTAAACAAGTAACAAAAACTATAAGAAAATATAATAAATCAATACAACTTTAAAATAACTTGTGTTATTACTCCATTTAATTGTACTTGACAACGAAGTTTTATTTTATCTAGTTCCAAATGATAAAATAAAAAATTACCTTATTTCTTTTAATATTCAAGACAAAAACAAAACATAATTATACTTTTGGTCACCTTCAAGTTCAAACTTAAAATAAATATTAATGTTATCGAATTAAGAGTTTTTACTTATTAGGTATTACATTTGACCCTTTAATTTACATGAATTTCACATGCATTTATGCACTTCCAAACATCTTACGTACACCTTAAGAATATTTTGTAATATTTTCATCTTGGTTACATTACATATTCGGTTCTCGTAGTCATTCCCTGGTTGCAAATAGTTTACATTTATCTGGTGTAGTCACTCCACCCTCAAGATACTTAGTGTAAGTCTAATATGTGATAACCATGGTTTAAATTCTTAGATTTTAACTCTAAATAACCTTTTACATTTAAATAAATCAAGATTCCTTCAGATTTGAGTCAAAGGCACGTTTACGTCGGTGCGATAATGTAGAACATAATTAATCAATTTAACAAAGTACCAAATAATTTTAACTCTAATCATTCATCTTGCATATATTTCTATATTTTTGTATTAATTATATAAGATAACATTGTTTGTTATTTATTGCACTAAATTTTTATAATTTTAAATTAACTAAATAAATTTAGTTGCGATTTAATGTAAACAATAAAATAAGAACTTTTTAGTTTATCTAGAAAAATACCATATACTAATTTAAAATTATTGCACACTCTGTAAATTTCGTCGGATTATGAGTAATATTTTTTGGAAATTTTGTTTCATTATATAAAGTTCAGTAAGTATTTATTTTTGACAAATACTATCAATACCAATCCGACTTTTATTAAAAACTAATTTCCGTAAATTTTTTACTCAAATCTTCAATGTCTTTGGTTGAGTTCATTTCAAAGAGTTAAAACAGTGTAATATAAATTACACTGACTATAGACTTAATATAAAACGTGAATTAATGAACTTTTAGATCTATTTTGAAGTCTAATGTATTTTTTATTTTATTCTAAGATACTTTCATTAAGGGCATACCTACAATCGAAATATTCTGTTAAAAAAAAAAACGGCAATAATATAAATTATTATTATTTTTACTATACAATTACACGACTTTTATCGTTTTAAAAAATATAGACACGACTTATGAGCTAAAACATTTTTAGATAAAAGTAAATGTGTGTTTTAAAATTACATGTCTAAAGATCTCAAGTATAGTAGTCGGGCAAAGATTCATTATTCGGCCGTTTAGAGACTAGAGAACCATTCATTATGACCATGCTGACAGAATGTGTTATTTTCTTAGGTGAACTTGTATATTGTAAAGAGAGAAGAAAAAGAAATTAAACGATCTAAAGTTGAAATGACGGAGTTCTTTCATTTCTCGTTGGGCTGTTCATCATTTTCCATCGGACAATAAAATTGCTACAAGAGAAATAACAATAAAAACAGAACTTTTTCTTTTAGCATACTATGATTATAGGCCAAAATCTGTTATTTCAAAGATTATTTCACATATATAATTGTTAAATTTAATTATTTAAATTAAATTACTAATATTTTTATTTTTTATAAGAAGAATAAAACAAGTATTAAACAAATTGTTGCGTATTATTTCCAAAGATTAAATTGTATTAAATTTAATTTCAAACGGATTAAGTTGTGCTTCCATTAATCATTTGATGTAAAATCGTTTTATAGCGAATTTATAAAACTAATTAGTAGTATAATATTAAATTAATTATAATTTATGTTTATCTCTAACACCTATTATGTTATTATATTTTATAGTCAAGATTTGATCAACTTATAACATGACAAATAAATTTTAGTTACATTGATTTATGGACTAAATTTAAGGAAACATGATTGGTTTAATTTGTTGAGAAAAATTATAAAAAATTGTCCCTACAATTTGCTTAAAAAAGAAAATTTATGACAGTCTTATTTTGGAAGACAATCAGTGTTTTTTTTTTTTGTTACATTTTTGTTGACAATAAACTAGTAAAATAATAAAATAAATTATAATAAATATAAAACGTATTATGGTAATGGTATAACATTAAAAGAAGAAAATTATATTTTATATGCACACTCAAGATTTAACATACATATGTGTTTTGTTTTTGCTATATAATTATGATCAGTAAATAGTAATTTTTAATGTATCAGTAAATGAATATAAATTTATATTTACATAAAAATTAACATTTTATTTGGGTTTATCTTAATTTTTAAATATATTATATTAACCAAGAAATAATCTTTTTTTCATAATAAGAACTACCAGCTCTTTAAAAATGTAATTCTTTAAAATGGATTTAAAGAGATAAATTCTATTCTAAAAGATAATTATAATAAATCACTAAACGACAAAGAATTTAAATTATAGTCTTAAAGTTTGGTTTTGAAATATATAGCAAAAAATATAATTCTAATCAACTAAAAACAGTTTTCTCTCAATTATAGGGACTTAAATCAATAACCATAAATTAAGTATTTTCTAAAAGTATTGAAAACCTCAACTTGGTGATTTATGTTATAGTTAAAAGTAAATAGAAGTTTAGAGATTATTTTTGACTGACTGCGTTGAAAAAAAAATTACAATTATTTTAGTTATAATATAGATATAATTATATTATTTTATTAATTAATTAACTGATGTTTAATAAACAGTTATATTTAATAAGGTTTTATCATGGGCAATTATTATCATTTTAATAATTCTCTAAAAAATATTTTAACCTTAATTCAACAGATAATTTTTAAGGCTTACTATTTTTAGAACTATACTCTATTTAAGATAGAATAGTCTTAAATTTAAATAATGGACTTGGATTTCAATTAAAATTATTTTTTAAAACATAATAATTTGTTTGAGATTTTATTTACTTAACATTCGGTTAAAATATAATTGCTTATAAAATTATGCTAAAATCATTTTTATTTTATATAAATTTAAATAATACTAGAATTTAATCATTAGAACTGACAATTTTTTTGAGGGGAGTGGGAAATAATTATTAATATATATATTTTTTTTTTTTGGGAAAAAATTCTCCGAGTTTTGAATGAATGAGTGAAAATAACTTATTTTTTAGATTGAGTTAGAAAGATAGTAATTTAAATTACTTTTTATTTATTAATTAAATTTTTTTTTCAGTTATATCATCAAAAGTTATTCATGGCAAAAAATTAAAACATTGCTATTGATTTTGGTGTAGCTACAACTTTCTATTTCTCTATAGTAGGTTAATAAATGTAACACTCTATTTGTATTTTCAATGAAAATTATAACATAATATCACACAAAAAGTTTAAATCTTGTAGAGTGATGAAATAGTAAAAAGTAATTTTATGAGTGTAATAGTATTATGCTAATAATAGTCGCATACATTATACAACATATCCTTACACTTTTCTTTAAATTTCTTTAGATATTATATATTTAGATTATATTCCAGATTATATTCCTTAGATATTTAATAATGTCAATAAAACTATAAATTATAAAATAATTATTAAACCTTACCTGTTGGTAATCGCCATATTTTGTTTGATAATCAAAGACAAATAAATATGAATTTCTTCGGTTTGCTGAATGAAGATCTGCAGTGTTTATCACTGGTGCTACTACCTGTGCATCAGATAAAGCTTCTAATGTTTCATCTCTAATGTTAACTGGATGTTGTATAGGTCTATCCCAATCTGTGTATTCATTAACTATGGTAGCTAATATTTCAGTTAAATGATACCTGAAATTCAGAGGATAATATCATTTTTCATTGAAACTCTAACATAATAACATTATAATATTAATAATGGTGTTAATAACCGTAAAATTTTTATTGAAAAAATGTGGTTTTTAATTTTAGCCATACTTGTATGTGTTTTTAACATAAGTTTTCAAAATTTTTGTTCTGCGATCAGCTTCGATTCCATACTGAACGTCATCACCAGTAAAAGCAAAAAAAGACTCTGCTCTGACTACACCGAGCATTAGATCAAATCTTGTTAGTCTTGACAATAACCTTTGCCGAGCTGCTGGATTGGTAAGAATTGCTGGCCCAAATCCATTTGCTAAAACCAACTCGTTTGGATCTTCCAGTGACCTTTCTAATCCATTAAATATATTAGGACTATCTAAAATTTGAAAAATTATATTAATTATGATTTAAAAATTTAATACAAGAATTCAAAAAAATATTTAATAAAATTTTATATTTTTTTTAAATAACATAACTTATTAAAAAATAATTGATAAATTATATATTTTTTAAACTTATTAATTAAACGTCCCAAAAGTATGAAAATGTAGTGTACAGTTATTATTAGGTGTAAAATCATTAAAAATAATAGACTTATAGTCTCCAATATACTAGCTAGAACTGTATGAAATTATATTTTTTTTTAGAGCTATGTAGTATTGTTTTAGACATCAATAAAAATCTATAAGATTGAAAAGGTAGTCTTTCCATTATAATTATTATGTATTTTGATATGAAATCAATTGTAGATTCTATAAATAAAAAATTCAATATTATGAAATCTTTAAATAATATATGACCATAATTATTCTTTCAACGAATCATATTTTGAAATATTTAGCTTTTAATACATATTATTATTATAGCTCCACAATTATCTTTTATTAATGTTATTATTTTTTTATAGAGTAGTTATAAAAATATTGCAATAACTTTTGAATGTATATGAGATTCGATTCCAAAATGGTGGGGCTAAGAATGACGCCATTACAGCATCTTATACTTACCCCCCATAAATTGGAAGTTAAGACGTTTTAAAATAGATTGATTATAAGATTATCATTAAGCACAATATATATGAAAAAATAAATATAAATAAATATTTGTTTTGTGTTAAAGTTTTTTTTTAACAAATTTGAATATTATACGGTTCAATATCAATGACTGACAAGTGTATAATAAATTCATAACACTTTATACAAATTTATTATTATTGGTAAAAACTAAAAAATAACATTTAGCTAAGTTACGGGTAAAAATGTTTAAAGTATCGTTTACTGGGTCTGATTTCTAAATTTATTTTTCTAAAAAATTCAAAAAGCTTGCAAAAATATTTATTCAATTTGAACTTTCCATAAATAAAATCTATGAGCCATATAATTTACTTCTATCAACCTTTTATTCATATGAAATTCGATTATTCAAAACTTGGTGCATAACAGACCAATCCTATTATTCAGGTCGACCGACCGAAACCTCTTTGGACCCATTAGCATGAACTGTAAGAGCTCTCGCGGGATAAACAAAACCTCATCGAGTGTCTCACACTTTAGATTAAGTTTTCATCGAAATCTAATACCTCAGATGATCATATTAAGTATCTGTTTTTTAAGTCTACACCGTTCAATAATTACAAATTAGTTATTGAATATTATATTAACTTCAACTTATGAATTCTATGAAATTCAAAATTTGTTATTTTAAATCCCACTTGTAAGCAAGTAGAGCGTCGGATTCCAAAGAATATGCCTATTAAAAGAGACATTTCTAAAGTACTCGACAAACAATTCTTCTCTGGTTTATTATATTCACAGAAAAAAAATTATAGCATCTTTAAGTAANTCTTTAGATTAAGTTTTCATCGAAATCTAATACCTCAGATGATCATATTAATTATCTGTTTTTTAAGTCTACACCGTTCAATAATTACAAATTAGTTATTGAATATTATATTAACTTCAACTTATGAATTCTATGAAATTCAAAATTTGTTATTTTAAATCCCACTTGTAAGCAAGTAGAGCGTCGGATTCCAAAGAATATGCCTATTAAACGAGACATTTCTAAAGTACTCGACAAACAATTCTTCTCTGGTTTATTATATTCACAGAAAAAAAATTATAGCATCTTTAAGTAAAAAAAGTATATAAAAATATTGTTGATTTTCTAATTAAAAGAGAATAAAGGAAATTTTTCAATTTTACTATGTTTTATTAGTAAAACAAATTTAATAACTCAATATGGAAATTATATAAAATTTATTTTTATTTACTTGATTGAGCTCCATGTCTGCTAGATTCAGGTGCTCCGACATCAATAATGACACCATCGACACTAGGGCCAAACGATGTTGTAAACTCAGGTACATCGATTTGAGCATTTAAAATTTGTTCAAGTGGTCTATCTCGTAAACAATTTAGAAGGTGTAAATGTGGTAAGTCTGGTGAGCAATTAACAAGTTTGGCCACTTGGTGGCCATAATTAACTGGATCTCTGACCAATGATAACGGGCTAAGTGGAGATCCGCTTAACAAAATTGCTCGATGAAATAATACTGCAAATAAAAAAAATACAAAGAATCAGACAATTTTTAGGATGAAATATACAATTTTAAACATTTTACAATTAATGGAGTTAAATCTTCCCGGTTGAATTCCAATATAAATTAGTTTGTAAATAAATTTAATTAATTTCTACTAACATTGTTTGGTAATAATATTGATTCGTTATTTCCAGATGGTCTTTTTAAAAAAATTTATACTAAAAAAGTTTTTATAACATTATTTTTAAAAATGCTGTCTGAATAAAGTTTCAGTTACAGTATAATTATGCCGTATCATTGGTGTAATATCATGTTACTTGAAAGTAAAATTAGTCGGATGGGTATTATATATTGTAACAATACGTTTACCATTAAGAACTCATGTAAACGGCATCGCGTAAATGTAACACATATAGTCGATTTAACACGCAAACTGATATTTCTCAGAGGATTTCAATTTAAATATTTTTTTTTACGTCACAATTTAATGTCTCAATATAAATTTTATAAAACCAGTTAAAAAATAGTACAGTATAATTTTCGTATAATTGAATAATCAAATAAATCTTAAGTTTAACTGATACCAACTGGAGCTAAAAACTAAAATATTTATTTTAAATTTTAACAGCATCACTACTTATGTTTCATCCTTATAAGCGTATAGGTAATAATATTTTATCTTCTTTATACATTAAAATAAATGTTTTTTAAATGTCTGTCTGAGTTCCTATACCGATAGATATTTATATACACATATTGCGTAAATATATATTTATATTTATCTGATTGAGGTACAACTTTGATGAGTTTTTGTGACATATATGTGGATATTTCTCCAACGGATAACAAATGGACCTCAATATTCTAGGGGCGATAAAAAAGGAATTTTCACATATACTAAATTTATGTGCTGGCTACAAGTATTTTAAAAATTACAGTTATTAGTTGTGTACTCTTATAATAGAAAACGGAATTGTCAAACTCTTTCATTTCATTTTATAACTCTAGAATGATACAGTTAAGTAAATCGTGTGTTCAAAACTATTATTTACATTAGTTCTACGATATTTTAGCACTAAAATAATGGATTCAATGTGTTACAACGTAAATACAATATCACTTATCTCTTATCAAAAATTCCGGAAAAAATTATAATGATTGACGACGTCTTGCGCGGGAAAAGGAATGTGTGCCTATGATATTTCGACACTGATGGAGTAACTTATGTATAGTTTTTGAGATATGCAGGTATTACTCAACATTTCCCTGTCATCATAATTGTAATAATAGATAGAATTATTAGTTTTATATCCAAACACTAGAAATTTAAAGTTCAAAAAATGTGCAATTTGATAATCAAACCAGTCATTATATTAAAGATAAAAAGCCGACTATGCATCAAAATGGTAGTTAGTTTGTTGCTGGAAAGAAATTTCGTAACACCAATTATTGAATTAAGTGGTTCTCGAATCACAAATGGAACTTGTTAGCATTGTCACGTTTCCAAGTAAATATGAATATAAAAAAGGTTTTTTTAATTTGTAAGGACAAATGGATAATCCGATAATTCAATTATTTAATAAAAAAAATTTGTCAATAGAAATGTCAGAGAAAATTTGGTAATAGAAGTTTATTTTAAATTCTAAAATTTTAAAATAAATTATGCAAAAAAAAAAACTATTAAATATTACACTGATTGCCTGATGTCAAAATTTATTATAAAATTTTATTTAAAAAAAATCTGATTAAATGATCTCATTCTTTAATTTTCTTTAAAGCAAAACTTTTTTCACACATATTTTTAACGTTGTCTTCAAAAGCACGTGACTCGACATTATGAGATTTTTTTTCGAGAAATACCTACTAACAATATTGTCAAATATTTTAAGTATATTTTCATTAAAATATTGCTATTATTATTATTTGAGATGATTGAGTATTAAAAATATATTTTCATTGTTAACTAAATAATAAAAGTGTTTTTTTTCTTCCTCTGAATAATTTTAAAAAATCGAGTTACAGGATATTTATGGTTGGGTTGGATATAAATTTTATAAATTATAATAACACATTTTTTTCATTTTCCGCTTCACAATTATACGTTTGCAGTTTATACATGTATCTAATATATTAGAATTTTATTTTTTCATGTATACTCGATTTTCGCTCTCCCCATCTAACTTATCAAGCAGCCATCACCAAATGAAAACACATCGTGAGTATATCTAGTACCATTACATACAAGAGTGGAGGAGTTAAAAAACCACGACGGTGATTTATTTTTTTCCCAGCACACTGATTTTGCACTCCAGAGTCATAGAGAGTGGTAAAAAATTAGCTTTTTCCCTGGTTTTTAGCTCGCCAAAATTTATTGCCAGAAAATCCACAACCAGCCCAAACTCTGCGTGCAGTCGTTAACAACAGGCAATTTTGAGCATACATTTAAGTAATACCACTTTATCTAAATATCTCACCCGTAGTGTTATATTATTTCCTTTGTTGCAACTGCCCTTCACTCTGATGTATCCAGTTAATGTTTGTTAGCAGGTTTTCTCTGTGGTACATTATCAAAAGTCTTGACTGGTGGCGATCACCATAATGATTGGTCAGAAAAATTGTAAAACGCGATTGCATTTACTGAGTCTATTCGTATTTTATCGTTTTAATCATATCAAAACCCAGCACAGTGGGGTCGTTGCACAGTTGGGACGTGGTATAGTTGGATCAAGTATAATGATATCTAACAGTGATTAAAATCACTATCATAAAAAACGCTTCGATGCAAATCTGTAGATAATGTTTATAATATATAAAGATATAAAGGAAAATGGTTTTATTTAAAAAAAAAGTATGTCGAATGAAATAGGTATTTACTATTTACTATAATACTATTTATAGTATTTATCATAAAAAAAATTGTATTGATCCATATATTTTTCAAAAAGTTATAGCATTATAAAACTAAAAATATAAAAAAGAATTTTTTACAAAACTATTATTTTTTTATTAACTTTGATGTTAGTTTTCACCATGAAAAATACTAAGTCGGAAATTATTCTTTTTCATAATAAAGTATACTACATAAACTTTAATTTAATATATATATATATATATATATAAGTGTCAGTATTTCCGGAACACAATCAAAAATTAAGTTGAAAAAGTTCTTTTTTCTATATGCATTTTTACCTTTTAAAACCTCCTGTATTAAGGAAAATGGTCCGATTTAAAAAAAAAATATGTCGAATGAATGAAGTATATAAATATTATTTCTCTTAAAAAAATTGTATTGATTCATACATTTTTCATAGCATTTTAAATTTAAAAATGTAAAATATAAAATCGATTATTTTCACACAAAAATAACATACGGTAGCCATTTTCACCGTAAAGACAAAATAAAGTCCGAAATTTTTTTTTCCATAATAAAATATATTACATAAGCTTTAATTAAGTGTCAATATTTCCGAAACACTTTAAAAAATTAAGTTGAAAAAGTTAATTTTTTGTGAAAATGTTGTCATTTTGAATCTCACCCTGTTACAGGTAAAGGGTCAGATTTCTAAAAATATATATCAATTGATAGGTAAAGACATCATGCTTCAATGAAAAAATAATTATATTGATTTGGTCATTTTTGAAAAAGTTATGGCAGTTTTAAGTCAAAAAATTTTGAAAATTACCGATTTTTAAAATTATAATTTACTTGGGGATTTCCCCTATTTACGGGGAACGAGAGAATTTTTACTTATTTAATTTAACATTTTATTTATGTATACCTAAAATGAATTTAATAACAAATTTTTATTAATTGGCTTAACAACGCAGTGATATGTTGTAATTAGAGGTACAAATTTAGAGGTATAACATGTCTATTATCAGCCAAAACGAAAAATATTTATATATTATTGTACATTTTTATAATTAAGTTGCTCAAACTCGGATGTATCCAAAAGCTAAAACAGAATGTATACATTTCAATAGCATAATATAATTGACAGAATAAATGGCTAATTTTTTTTCGTCAAGATATTATTTACTTTTCTAGTAATATTCTTATCGGAAATAATTACAATACAGAATCGGAAGTATACTTGAAACTATTTTACGTCAATTTCCTGTGGTCTATCATAAATATTTTTAATAGCAATGTGCCTTTGTGATATTCAAAGGAGACCAGTAAGGTAGGTAAGACGGCCAAGGAATATTCGTTACTTCAAAAAGATTATTATACTATTATGTCATTATACAATGTAGGTAATATTCTTCTGCCATTGTAGTGATAAATTCTGCATTGAGTAATAAAATGTAATGAATAAGTATTATCAGTATACAGTATAAGTACTGTGGTTTGCTTCAGAGTTGGACCAATTGGTTAGATGCATGAAAACAACCCCTACGGTCGTAAATTTTGCGATGTGACTGTAGAAACTGCAGACGACCAATGGAAGATACTTTATTATTACTGTAATTTTAGGTCAGAACGATTTTCGTAGTGTGCGAGTAATGCTGTTTACAAAACTCATATTCGATGTAGTTTCACTGTTATTTCAAATCTTTAAACAAATTAAACACATTCAATTCCATCTGAGCGTATCAAAGATTATTGTCACATAACTCATTGAGTTTCATATCTTTTCTACTTTTTAAAGTCAGCATAAATTTATTATTAATTCAGGAATAAAGTGCGCATTGCATTATCATTTGTTACAATACCAATTGAGTTATAAAACTATATTAGTGTAATCCAACTGCAGAAAATGATTATGCACCATGAATAAAATTGTGCTTCAACAAGTCCAATTGCTAGCATTTTTTTTTTTCAATGATACTATCAATTAAAAAAATAATATATTGGTAACTGATTGAAAATATTTTACACTTCTATTCAAAATAATTTGTGATGGTTTAAACAAATTGTTGGAATTTCACTTTAGTGTTAGTATAAAATAAAACCATTTTATACGTTTCGTTGAACTATAATTTTATTCGACAATAAAATTCAACTGTAC